CCGACTCGACAGCATATAACAGCAACGACAACATGTGGGCCTGGGGCTGAGTCATTTTCAGGCAGACTTGTGATATTGGCTTATAGAAGATGAGTGACTTGACCCGTCCAGCAAAAGACCACCAGGAACATTCCAGTGGTTGAACATGTTGGATTTATTACTTATTGCAGCAAGGGAAAAAGCACACCTTGGGAAAACATGGGGCATCTCAGTAAGAAAGTATGATGTCATCTTGATGCCAGGACCCTATCCACTCTCATTATGGTTTGGGATATTTTTTCTCCAAGGTCTCATTCACTTTAAAAAAAATACATACATTTTATTGAAATATAATTTATGTACAGCGAAATACACAAAACTAAAGTGACACGTGTCAAGGCATTTTTTTTTTGCAGTGTTTCCTCCCCTCCCCTCCCACACCTGGTAACCAACAAAGAAAATTTCCTTCCATATATAAACATTTCCTTGACTTTTTACAATAATGAACTAATACTATACTATATATATCCTCCTATGATTGACTTCTTTCTCTCAGCATAATGTCCTCCAAGTTCATCCAAGGGCCTCATTCACTTTCACTGTGTGTATCTCAAGTTCTCCTTAGCCTTAGAGCCTATTGTCACCCCTTTATCCCTCTGGAGATGCATCAGGAGCCTGTGGCTAGAGCAAAGCAGGATGGGCCTGGGACCTACCTATGAAACAGCAGTGGAAGCTTGACTAGGTCTGGGAGCAGACCAGACGTGGGGTAGCCAGTGGCATGTGGTGGGGAGAGTTCCAGAACCTATTTAACCCCACTTGATGATACTTCAGTCAGTCACATCAAGACCCTAAGGGGGGCTATAATGGGGAGGGCAAAGTCTCTGCTTGCCACTCTAAGCCTTCTTCTATACAGTACCTATATAGCTATTGCATATAGTATCCTTTCTCTGGGTCACGGTGTTCATCAGGCCCCCCTCCCCCTCCACATACTCCCATTCACAATGTCAGTATTGATTTATTAAAGTTCTATTCTCAACTGACATGCTTCCCTAGACCTGTCTAGCTTTTGCTAGAAGGCTGGATTTAATAGAAATTTTACAATTGACTCAATTGATTATCTGTGCTAATGGAAAGGAGCACAGGGACAGGTAATTCTCCCATGACGTAGACTCATGGGAATTTATTTGGTGGTCACTTTTGTTGTTTTCTATTTTTGACTATTTAAAACAATGCTGTGATAAACACTCTATTTTTGTTGTTGTTTGTTTTTGTTTTTAAATTAAAACAAACATAAAATTACTATAAAATTAAAGTAAATATTTATTTAGAATGAGAAAAGAAATCCCAACAAATTACAAATTTTGCTGTGAGTTGTATACACTACATTTTTGAGGATATTAATGACAAGAGAACTTGTGTTTCCAGGCATCGTTGAGAAATGATTTCTCCACTTCTTTTTATTATTATTTTTTTAATTTTACTGTTGTTGAAAATATTCTCCATGGAAGTAAGAAATCTTCTGTAAAAATTTACAGGCTTGACAACCCTAAGGAACAGTTCTATTCTGT